CAGTCTAGTCCTATTGGAGTACAAGTTTTCCAGCCAGAAAAGAAGCTATTCCTATTCTGCATCACGGCTACTTAAAATTAGAGTATCTGTTGAAAGCTAGAATTGAACTGGAGCTGTAGCCAGAACCAAGATCTGGCAAGGACTGCTTAGGTAGAAGAATTCAGGTAGAAGAATCCACACAATGTGCGTGGATTCAGCTATAGCCCTCCCCTCGCCGGGGCCCTGACGTGTGTGTTGCCTGGGGGCTTTGCTGACCTGACCCTTCACCATTGGTTGCCACAGGAAGAAACTGGCAGCTGGATGTTCTTGTGGCTTCTCCATGCCCGTGGCACGAGGTCCTTCTGTGCAAATTGGCTGTAGTTTTCTTTGCAAGGTGTTCATGCTGTTGCTAGGAGACCAAATCTCTGCTCGCAAAGAAAGGTTATTTCCAAATTTAAAATGGCTCCTTATATATTTGGCTGGGAAATGAAGTCTCTTATACAAATGGGCATTCACCTGCTCACGAATAGTGAAAGGAAGTTCTTATTTTGTGAAAGAGTTTTCTGACTTCACAATGTAAGGATTTGAAAGTCTTAAAAAATATATCAAACTGTCTAAACTTGTTGGTTTTTTTTTTTATAATATATTTATCTATATGTACACATATGTATGTGCACACCCAGAGCACAGGCATATGCCAGATGCTGTGTGACAGCACCCTAAGTTTTAGGTGGAATTTATAGAAATTATTTCCAGGACATGGGCATTGTCCATATCAGATATGTTTTTGAAACTGCTCTCCTGTTTATTCCTGTACTAGTGGGAGGTATCAGGTGTAACAGTAGTTAGAACTCATTAAAGCACTCTATAGGTGCCGTTTCACCTTCAGTTTCTTAGAACTGGATTTGTGTTATCTCTGTTTTTCCAGTGTTTCGGGTGAGAGTGTTCTTCAACTGTCACTGAAGTTTATTGTGGCAGTGTTTTATCTGAGATGCAAGAAGCAACAGCTGCTTCTTCTGTCCCTTCTTCTGTCCTTTCCTTAAGACTTCTGTGCACTTTTGGAATTAGGTTTATTTTTTAACCTGAACCTCTGACAACAGGGAAGCACATATACCCTGTTTGGCTGTTGTTTAATTTAGAACCTGAACCTCACAAGGTCATTAGGCTTTGGGTGGCAGATTGGGGATCAGTGCCTTGGTGCCATCTTGTTCTTTACAGGAATGAGTGTGGAAGTCCTCCTTTGGCTAAAGGCAAGGTTTGTTTTACATTAACCTTAGAACATCTCCAGCTGACTGCTCTCCCATGAGGAGCGTTTCTCTCTCTCCTCTCAGGGTGAAGCTTACAGCTCGTGTTCTTCTGCTCTCTCCCTCTTCCATGGGTCACTCTAAATTAATGCTGCCACTCCGGATGGAAACTGCTCATTTCAGGCCATTCCTTCTGCAGATGTTGGTGTTCATTTGTCCCCCAGGGAGCTGCTTCAAGGAGAAAAGTAACCCCACCAAAGCAATGGAGCAATGGAGCATCAGTGCCTCTGGGAGGAACGCCTGGGTGTGGGCTCATGGCTGGCTGTGGGAGAGCAGGACACTATAAATTCTGGTTTAGATGACCCTGTACCGTAATGGAGCAGCACTTTGAGCTAAAAATTTACACCCTAGTGATGACATTCGGCATCCATAATGCTTAACTTTTGCTTGCCATGCAGCCTGTTGCTCCGAACAGTCCCTGCTGTTATTTACACCTGCTTTCCCAATGCAGAAAGACAAGGTGGCTCTTTGTATTGATCTTGACCTATCCATTGCATTAAATTCAATAGACCAGTGCTTGGTGATAGTTGTTTTCTCTTTTAAGCATAACACAGTTCGATGTCTCACGAGGAGCATCAATGCCTCTGGGAGGAACGCCTGGGTGTGGGCTCATGGCTGGCTGTGGGAGAGCAGGACACTATAAATTCTGGTTTAGATGACCCTGTACCGTAATGGAGCAGCACTTTGAGCTAAAAATTTACACCCTAGTGATGACATTCGGCATCCATAATGCTTAACTTTTGCTTGCCATGCAGCCTGTTGCTCCGAACAGTCCCTGCTGTTATTTACACCTGCTTTCCCAATGCAGAAAGACAAGGTGGCTCTTTGTATTGATCTTGACCTATCCATTGCATTAAATTCAATAGACCAGTGCTTGGTGATAGTTGTTTTCTCTTTTAAGCATAACACAGTGATGGTTTTGCTTTTTTCACAAATACATTGTAAGTTTGAGAAATATGGATTGATCCTCCAACAGTGAAACAGCAGCAATTTCATAGTTTGTGTTAGAAAAGATGTCTGTATGGGGTTACCTTCTGCTAACTTTAAACATCTAAAGGTTAAGATTAGATTCAAGTTCTTTCTGTAGAGAGAAACAGATCTCTCCTTGGCAGGGTGATGGATCCCAGCTTACCAGAGGTGTCTGGGATGGCTGGGAAAATTCTGCTGAGCCCTGCTGGAGCCCAGTCCACCCTGGTAGATCCCTCACTGAGTGAAGTTGCACAAATAACTTTTTAGCAGTGCTGCCTTAGGCTTTTGCTGGCACCTCGCTGCCATTTGCCTTGGACTGGTATGTGTATTTGTGTGACTGAAGGGTGAACAAGGTCAGGGAATCTTCTCTTCTTACTTACTTTTCAGCAAGACAATTTTTGTGGTCCCACAGCAGCAGGAGTGGTGGTGCTGGTGGAGTAGGAATGAGGGTAAGGCACATCTAAACGCCTTAAACATTGATCAACTGCATGGATACAGCTAACTGGATATTTTAATTTTGTGGCTTTTTTTTTCTTCTTTGAAGCAGATCTTGTAATTTCTTTTATAAATAAAATCCTATCTGGTTACTTAACAGACTGCTCTTGTACAAGCAATAGAGGTGTTTACATTTTCCCTATGTGACCTTGAAGCTTGTTGATTTTAGGCAGATAAAGTCGCATTAGCCTTTTGAAAATTTACCAATATTCCAGGCAAACAAATGCTGCATAAATATTGTTTGTTGGCGTTTATGTAGTGTCAATATGTGCTGCACACAAACTACGGTGATGATGTCTTCATCCTAGCTTCCGTGCAGATCTAACAGCCTGCTCTGGGAAATGAAAGGCCCCGTATACAGAAGCCAAGCAGTGCAAAGGACTGAATATTTGCCTCTATATTTTAAAAACATTTTCTCAAGATATTTCTACGTCCTTTTAAAGGCGACTGGTGTGGACTGATGCTTTAGGATGCTTCAGGTTTCCAGGACTCAGAGGAGAACTGCCGGGAGTGGCCCGTAGATGGCAATGTAGGATCCTTGAATTGGGCACATTCTACACTCTGCAGTGATCAAAATGTGTTATTTCACCGAAACATTGACACACAGGTTGGATTTATAGTGTTTCTCAGTAACTCGTGCCTCTTCTAGCAGAACTGACCAACTCGGTGGCTAGCCATGCATTTTGAATACTAACTATGAAGTTCATAGTTAGAAACGCAATCGTATTAAAATACGGCAAATGACAAATTTTGATTTATAGGGAAAACTTTCCCTTTGGCTTTACATATCAGTAGTTTGCAAAAACTTAAATATGCATCGTGGTCTTGTGCAAGTGCTTGGAGTACTTTAGCTGTGGGCCAGAGTTACTGCTGTCAGTCGAAGAGGAGGAGTCAGTGAGAAAAAAATGCACGTACAGGTTTACACAAGTCCCACCAAGAGAAATGTTTCATTAATGCAGTTTCAGGACTTATAGAGGCCTCTGTGATGGGATGAGGCTGCCAGCCTTACTTCATGCTATTGTTGCTGATGCTTCTTTCCTGTTCCCATCAAGTCATGTTTGTTTTCATCCTGTGATACCCATGTTGAATTTGTGCTCTCTGCTTTCACCTACTAAAAAGATAATTTCACCCACATGCTGTGCCATGTAATGCTTTGCGTCTTAACGTTCCTCACTCAGGTTGTCCCCAGAAACATTCCCCTCCAAAATTAAAGACACCTGCAGTTTCACAGTGTTGGATCTGATTTGCCTGAGGATAGTATTTCTTTGAGTTCCCAAAATGTGCTTCTGTTTATGAGTGAAACTGAGTCATCTTTTCCTTGGTTGACCCGGGAACTACTAGCACTATAAAAGTTATGGATGTTATCACTTGGCTTCTTTGTGACATGAGGTGTATCGGAAATGAAAACGAGCAGCACTACTTCAATTTATCATTCAGTAATTCTGTCAAAATTTTATTTCTATATATAATTAAATATAGAAACTTTTGCTAATCCACACTACTTTGTTCCTGCAGTAGGCACCATTTAAATTATATTCTTATCTTCAGCAGAAAGATAAACATCATTATTCTTGCTGACCACTTTACTTGCATGACTGAGAGCTGTAAATTTAGCTGTCTAGTTTTGGAAACAAATGGCCTTGTTTTTTTAAAAAATTGTAATCTCCAGATGAAGGCTGGGAAGGACTTGCATTCCAGGTCAGTCACTTGAGCAGGCTAATTATTGTGGTTTACAGCCCCATTTCTCTGGACCCACAATGAATGTAGGAATAAAATTATGACCCTAATTAAGTATGGCTACAAAACTGCAGTCATTAAAAAGGGTATCTGATAAAGGAGAAGCTGAAACCTTAGCTTGACAGCGTTACATGTGTTTATGTGCCCTAGCTGACTTCACTGTTGCACAAAGCTGCTCAACTCATGTCACAAGGGCTACAGGGATAATGAATTAATATTTATAAAGTGTAGCAAATATGCTCTAATTACCCTAATTGGCCTGCTGTGTTTCCAGTTATGACAGAACTTTATTTCTGTTCAAGTGACATTTGCTTCTGGATTAGTTCCTGCAGGCAAAGAGAAAGGAAAAGCCCTGTTGGACAGGGCAGAAACATCCCCTGACACTGTGCTCCTGCAGTTTCTTCACCAGGCTTTTGGCAGAGCTAATTGCATTCAGTAATGTCTTTAGTGATTTCTAGGGAGTATTTCAGAAGATATGAGATGCTGGAAAATGACAAAGAAAGACAATGAGCAAAAAGGGAGGAAGGTCTAGTTTTATTGTTAATAATTAATAGACCAATCTCTGAACTTTTTCAGTTTGGAAGCACAGGCAAAATTCTCCTTGACTTTATTTGTGGTGTAGAAATTTACCTTTATTTGTGGTGTATGATTTTACATAGTGACTGACAGCTACCAAACAAGGAAGCCTGTCCTAAGGACTTACACTCTAATGTTACAAGACAAGACAGAACATGCACAGAGCTGAATTGGTTTAGTGAAGTACAAGTTTTGGACCTAAAATGGTCTTCACTTTCCTGGTTTTTATACGATTGTTACTATGTTAGAACACTGAGATCATGGGATTGTTAAAATGCTGCAGAGGAAGTGGTAAATCAGTGAGTGGGTAAACCTAGTGTTAAGCATTTTCTGTTCTAGCAATAGAACTTCTGAAGTGTATTTTTGTTGATGAGGGTGACATTCAGCCAGTACCATGATCTCTAGTTTCATGCCTTCAGTTCTGTCTGGTTTCTGTAGGTTGCACTCTTTGTGCCTATGGGATAGTACAGTTCCACCATCTCAGGCGGCATCATACTTTGGTTTTTGGGGTTTTTTTTCCTTTTATTTTTGGTACCCAGGTAAACTTTTGGATAAATAGAAATGAAATTCACTGTCAAATCTTCCATAAGGTAGCCAACAGAACACAGGGAATACTGGGCCATTTGTAGCAACTACTGATACGATGAGTGAAACTCTCTGGCCCTAAGCCAGAGTCAACTGATCAGATTAGGGGTTAATGGCCCTGACTGACTCCTGAGCAGAGACTAATGGCACAGTCTTCCCAGTTACATTTGCCACTTTGTTTAACTGCTGATAAACATAGTCAATCAAATCTGTGTAGGTTTAGGAGTATCCAGGTCACTTTTCAGCCTGTTGCAAACCCAAGAGAGGGATGTGAAATTTTGTAGCTTTGTTATGAGAAAGATCTATTCCTTTCCTCCTGTTTTAACTTGCCAGTCTTTTTCTTATCTAATCAAAACAAACAAATAAACAAACAAAAGTAATTGTATAGAACAGACTATTTTACAGTCAGGCTTGAGCTGCCAAGAACTGTTATGTTTGCCGCTGTCTTATTGTTTCAAACTGACCCTGACCAAGAACAAGGTGACCTCTCTGGACCTGGATTCTTTGTGCTGCTTCGTATTCCTTGGTCCCCACATAGAATGAATGAGAAGTAGAAAGGACAAATGATGTGGAATTAATCAGTGGTTCTGTACAATTGCAGAGTAGGACTCTGATTCACCTATCTTAATGTTGGCCTTTTAATGTGACACCTGAATTTGGGATCTGGTTTATTCTAGGCTTACTCTATTAATAAATAAAAAATAGAGATGACTACATATCTCCCAGTGGTGATTCAGATCTTTTGACAATGAGGCCACCACTTCAGGCACTTTGGTAAGTGCCTAAAATGAATTTTTACTCTGATTCCCAGTCTGTAGCCTAAAGGACTCTTTGAGTGGAAAGCTTTTGTTCACAGAGATTCCTGTGAAACCTTGGTTTTAGTTACAGAGGAGAGCTATAGCGGTAGGAATGAGAACATTCTACAGCAAAAATGTTTGCTTTTGCATCAGCCTGAATACCCAGTGAAACTCTACCCACATGAGTCATGAATATATAGACCATGCCAGTTTTCCTTCCCAGACATGCATCTGATGATGTGTAAATCCATGAATCAGTTCTGCATGATTTTTTAATTGTTTAATTGGACATTGCTATTGTGGTATACAACCCCATTTTTCTGGACCCACAATGAATGTAGAAATAAAACTATGACCCTAATTAAGTTGCTATTATTTGGACACTGACTATTCAGTGACACTACTAAAGCCTCTGACTATGGAAATCTGGAGTATTGAATTACAGTGGAAAAAATTAAAAAGGGACAAATGGAGACAAGTCCTACACAGTCCTTAAAAATAAGTTTCCCTAAGACCTTGACCTATAATGAATGTTAGTGTAATACAAATTATTCCAACTCACCTTGTAAATAATGTTCTTTTATGTACCGTTAGAGAAGCCTTGTGACTCTGTCTTCCTTTACCAGTGTTGCAATCACCAAGTGATTTTAATTACTTTTGTTCTTGTTTTTGAGGAAGAAGAATTGAGGAGGGAAAGATTTTGGAGAACGTAATTTAATATACCACTTTAAGTGGAAATTCTAGTTTTATCAAGGATTTTTCTCTTTCTCAATCTCCACAGATCCTTCCTGTTCCTTTCTGAATCTGTTAGATTCTTTGGTCAAATAGTTAAAATATTTTAAAGTCATGTCCCAATTAACTGTGATTGTGATTCTCGGGACAACATGCAAGAAAGAGTTTTTCCTATAAAAGCTCCTGAATTGGTACCTAGATTTTTCTGTACTGAGATAGTTTCATTTCCTAGGAAAAGCTTTCTATTACAGCCAGCTTCCTTCAGCTAGCAATGCTCGTAGCCTAAATTCTCCCTCAACTGCTGCTCACTTCTCATATTAACCCCAGGTTTTCAAGCATGCCTATAGCACACGTGACAGTCTTTCTATACCATAAGAAGCACATGAAAATGAAAGGAGAACCTAACACTTTATTAATCGAGACTAATACAGCTACTGCTGTTTGAATTCATACTGTACATATTACTGCAGTATACAGAGGATAATATAGACAGCAATGCAAGCCTTTCTCTACTGGAGACATGCACCACTCTTTATCAGTGGCAATTCAAACGATTAGTTTGACTTCATAAAAGCACGAAGTGTTTTTATTGGAACTTTCTTGTTGACTGCACATGCTGTTAAAATGCAAAAAAGGAGTGATAGCTGACTTGGTTGCTGTCAGCTGTGTCACTGGAAACAGCTTTTGAATCAATCCATAATTTTCATGAATTTGACTAAAACTTCAGATAATATACTGTAAAGAGGCATAATCATCTTAAACCTTCAGCCTTCTCAGTAAAAGCTGGAACACAGCATGTGGGTTTCATACTAATGTTGTGCTCTTAAGATGTATAGCTGGATTTATTTAGCATAAGGAATACAGTATGCATTACCTCCTGTAAAACATAAGCTAGTTTGTTACAGTAAAACATGTTGATATGCGTAAAAGTCATGTGTTGCCAAGAACAAAATTACATTGGGGTACATCCTGGATGGCTTATTTGTTCCTGGCTTAAGCAGGACTTGCAACAGGGAAGATGCATTCATGGGTTTGCTCAACCAACACCCAACTTCAGGGTGATATTTTGGGGTTGGGTTTTTTTTCTGGACAAGGGCTTCAGAATCAAGCTATAATTTCGGGATAAAAAGTAAAGTGATACATGAAATAAATGAGCATTAACTTAAAATGTAGAGACATTGAGTAATTGGATGGACCTTCAGCAGCAGCATAACATAGAAATAAGCTTGGGTTTTATTTGGTAATTCTTGATTTCTCCTTATATTCACATACAGCTTCTTATTTATGGCTCAGCCTGTCAAACGCATTCTTAGATAAGCAACTATTGCTCACAGGACTAATCTAATTACCAGTTCTTTTTATAATGAATGCTGACACAAAGGTAGAAGGATGTATAGAACTTGTGTTGAAGCCAATGCTACAGATGATCAAACAGTTTTGAAATTAAGAGTATTTTGGATGGAAAATGTGTCCCTTTTTTGTCACGATGTTCCTGTTTTTTGTCCAACTCTAATTAAAGCTGAAGAACAAGAGTGAAAAGCTGGTTACATTCGTAACTCTGGCATATAATTGATTGCCAAGTGTTTAAACTGGATATTTAGCACTCTGCAGTAATGCTCCATGGGCGTATTTACCTCCAACAGGCAGAAGAATGCTAAAGCCCTAAGTATTTGTAAAGCACATTTTTAAAAGTTTTGGAATAATTCCTAAACAATAAGCATAAGAACATCGTCAAATTATATTTTAAATACATGGGCTTGGCCAAACAGCATAGGCTGAGGAGTTAATTCTACCTTTTTCTTTTTTTTCTTTTTAAAAGACAATGTATGTGTCCTTGGCCTTAATTTAAATCGCAAAACCATCATGCATTCTGGCGTTTCTAGCAAACTGCTCCAGAAATGCCAATAAGTAATTGTATTTCTGAAAATTAGGCTAGAGAAGTATTGCTGAATGTGATGGGAACTTCTAAAATCCCCTACCCCTTAACTAATGACTAACTTTACTAAAATAGAGGGGAAACTCTTAAGATTAGCTTTTCTTTTCCTCTGAGCACACATGAAATCAAACAAGTGGATTTAATTCTTTTCTTAAAGTTCTAGACTTTTCTCCTGAGCTGCTACGAAAGCCAGTCTCATTCCCTCTAAAATAACTGGGAGGTCTGTCATTAATCTCCATAGTAACCTGCGCCAAACCCAAGTGTCTCATTGACCCCTGTGCTCCCACTGACTTCAGGAGGAGAATCTAGACCAAGACACGCGTGTGGATGAAGAATACACAGTTGTGTTTTGGGACCTTAATTGCTTTTTCATATCCTGTTTAGAATTTTCTCCATTACTGTGATGTCTGTAATGATGGCAAAGGTAGAGCTAATTAAACCTTAAGTCCTCATGACTGAGGATGGTAAAGTATAAAGCTGTCAGTACCCCCCCACTCCATGACTCAAATGATATTTTCTTTTTTTCATCATTGGCAACTTCCCACGACCATATATTTTCTGCTCCTTTTAAAGAACAAATGCTGAATGTGAATGGGTAGCCGCAGTGTCGATTTGCCAAGTAATGGTAGGGTGTCCCCTGGAAACAGGCCTCTTTTAATTCTGTTTCATATTTGAGGTAAAGTAAAAACATGGAAACAGATGGTAGGGAACGACTGGTATCTCATCATGCATATTTCATTTGATTTGCAGCTAGTTACCTCTTGATAATAATATTAAATGCTACAAAACTCCAAGATTTTGTTCCTGGGAATACTGCATTCCATGAGAAAGGATCAACACTAACTTCAATTAGATTTTGAAGCTGGTGAGCTATAAGTATTTACATCTTTAGCAACATTATGATACAAACAGCTCGATCCTTCTTTTCTGGTATGTTTAGGGCTGACTTAAAAAAAATATACAGTTGCTGTTGTGAATGACAAATCTTACTTAATGTTTTTTTAAGAGCACAATGGGACAAACATCTGTGGTTATTTCCATTACACTCTAAGGCGTTTTACTAGGAGAAAATTTAGCCATTATTTTAGTTGTATTTACATTATTTATATACAAGAAGAGCAAGAAAAATGGCAGCCTGTTTAATGATTATATACATTGTGATTCGGTTGGAAAAATGTGTATTACAAATGGCAAAACAGCCTGTCAAGTACATAATTATAGGTTGTTCTTTTTTTTCATCAGAGAACTTTTAATTCCTAAAATCCCACTGCTCGATCTCAGTGAAAGATCTGTCCTATACATTCTACTTGGGGGGGCGGGGGGGTGGTGGAAGAAACAGCATAATAATAGACTTAAACCACATCAGTTATGGGTTAATAGCTCCTTTTCTTCATTTTAATATGAGAGTTACCTTTGTAAAATGCTTCCAAAGCAAATAAAAAGATGGAACCTGACACAACAAAACATTACTTGACATTGGGAGAAATGGTAACTTAAATTTCATTCATTGTCCCTATTCTCAGAAGAGATACTGGGGAATAAAATATCACTACCTTGTGACGTATTGGTTATCTGAGACTTTGTTTTTAATAAGAACTGAGCTCTCCTGTACATTATTCTTTCCTGTTCTTGCTTTAGCTCAATGTAGGAGCGTGAAAACGTGTGGAAGATGGAGGTGACTGGAAATGCCATGAGGAGGATGCCACTCAGGATGCTGCTTAGTGCCACCACTTGGCCGGGAATACTTCTGGGAACCATATCTCCGTAGCCTACCGTGGTCATGGTGATGACAGCCCACCAGTAGCACGCGGGGATGCTGGTGAACTCCTGCGAGTCCGCCATCTCGTTCTCGATGACGTACAGGAGGGGTGCAAACAGTGCGATGGCCACGCAGAGGAAGAGGAGCAGGAGACCGAACTCTCGGGTGCACCTGCGAGCGGTCAGCCCCAGCGTCTGCAGCCCCAGGGAGTGCCTGGCCAGCCGCATGACGTAGAGAATCCTCAAGGCACGGAGAATACGGAGGACCAGACCTACTTTGTCCAGGTAGATGCTCCCGGAGCTGGGCTTTTTATAGCCCACGGAAGTGTTGTCTAGTAGCAAAGTGATGTAGTATGGCAGGATGGCTATGATGTCTATCAGGGTTAATGGTCTCCGCAAAAATGCAAACTTGCTCTTTGCCTGGATGAATCTTAGCAGGAACTCCAGGGAAAACCATGCCACACAGACAGACTCCACAATGAAAATATTGTAGCACATCTGGGAACACTCACCCTGCAGGAAAGAGGAGGAGTTTGTAATCGGCACTGGATAATAACTATTTTAGTTGGTACGGTGACAGGAAGAGAGGTTTCTGTGTTGTTTTTTTTTAAACCCAAAATATTAAAGGAATTGAAGCTGTTGCTATGGGGAAAGACGTTGACAAATTGGAACCAGTTAAATGCAAAACTTAGAAAGGATCTACTTATTCCACAGAAGATATTGCTTGGTAATTTCAGGCTTTCTAAATAACAAATACAAAGCTTAACAAGGTAATATACAGTTGTATCAAAGAGTGCACACTAACAACATTTTCTCTGGACATAACACTTGATATCATTACGTCTATTACAAGTAATTGAACATAGTCATGTGAGATTTCAAATATTCTTTGTGTTATTTTCCCCCCTCTAAAGACAGCTGCAAAATCCCTGTTGAAATCAGTACCATCAGACCTTGTACTTGTTCTGTGCTTCCCAGCACATACCATTTTCTTTTTCCTGGAAAGCTAACTTACCTTTTCCTCCTCCTCCCTCAGGTCAGGCATGGTGCTGATGGATAAGTTCACTGCTGTAATAGTTACAAATAAAACAGACAAACAAGCAAACACCTTTCCAGGGAGGCCAGACTGCGGCCTTTCCACCATGTCTTGCAACTTTTTCATGCACAAGCCAATTTTTGTCTCCTCTACTGTTTCACCTGTTGTATCATTTTCTATGAGGTCATCCTCCCGTTCATTTATTTCTGTAAACTCCTCCATTTTTTGCAGATATCTCCTTTTACAACACGAGTCCAAGTTGTCTTCCTCAATTCCCCAGTAGAGCAGCTCCTCTTGGAAAGACAGCGCACACATCTCACGCAAGAGCCGAAGTTTTCCAACCCGCAAAAAGGTCAGGATTGTCCTGAATGCTCCTGGGTTGCGGTCAAAAAAGAATTCATTACATGTCACGTCATAATCATCACAGATGTTTAGAATGTCGTCAAAATTGTTACAGAATTTTAGTTGTCCCAAACGTGTCAATGGGAACTCATCAAGTGTGGTCCATGGGAGCAAATACTTAATGCCCCCTACGTTTATAATAATATGGTGCTTCCGATCATCGGGGTGAAAGCCTTTCAGGAGATCCTCTTGAGGGTGAATTAGCTTGGCTCTTTGGTAAAAGACTCCCTTTAGGGTTTCTGTTTCTGGAAAGAATGTGTGGTTGAAGGAAGCATCTGAAGCACAGCTCAGGGCACTATAGTCATAGTCGGAATTTTCTCCAGGTAGAAGAGTCATCTTGGCAGATAACTTCACATCACTTTGCTACTTCTGCAAGTGTCTTCTGGAACAAAAAACATATATGGGTTGAGTGTATGAGTGGTTGTTTTCAAGTTTGGCATAAATGTAGTGATTGGAGCTTAAAAACATTTAAGGCTGATAAAAACAATTGAAAGAAAACAGCAGTGGCTGAATATGGTCATAAGACCTTTCTGGTGAGACTGGGTTTGTGTCCATCTGGGTAGAACTGACTCTATCCTGCATATGGCAGGATGTTGCTGGTTCAGAATGGAAGTGTAAAAAGTGTGATAGTATCACGTAAGAACACAGAATTCAAGTGTGTCTTGTAGTAAGAAAATTATAACTTTTTTATTTAACTATTACACATAAATTCTGAAGTATTTCAGTACTCATTAAGTATATAGAAAGAATCAGAAGTCAATTATGCTGTAATTCAGTAAATACCACTTCTAAAAAGTAGTACAAGACTAATTTCTAAAAGGCCATATGGAAACAATTTTGGGAAAAAAATGCCACTTGTATTGATGATCACATAAAATGTTTGTATAAAGTTTATATACATTTACTGGCATGACAACTCCCTTTCCATGGCTTCAATTACAAGAGATTTGTTAAGAAATACATGATTTCTACATAAACATTGGAATACTATTTCAGTTGTAACTAACACCCTATCTGCAGTAATGGGTCTTTGTCCTTACAATGGATTGAACAGTAGCTGAGAGCCAAGGTGAACGCTTTCACCTCTGATTATAAGAATCCAAAAAGATTGGATGTCTTATGATGTCTTTGAAAATTATATTTAAATTCTGCTCACACAACACTAGTATAAAGTCTGGGGAAGGAAGTGACCACAGAGTACAAATGGGTATAAAAAGCAGGTACTGGAAATGTTAAACTTTTTGCCTCCCAAACTCTCTGCATTTTAGAAGTCAGACTGCAAGTCTGCTCACCCCCAGGAGAGTTGTACAGTACTGCTTCTAGATCTTCCAGCTCTACACTCAGCTGCAGCTTAATGCATGGAGTTACTGAGTTTCATTTGATAAGAGTATTTATTTATTAAGTAGATTGTACAATAAATAGATTTTAATTATGCACAAGTATTCTGACTTTCCAGCCTCGAGTTCACCAGAAAGTAATAAATATTACACTTCAGTAATTGGCTTCAGTAGGAGTACACAGTTTTGTTCTTTCCCTGGCTGTACTTACCTCCCCTTTGATATGCACCCTGAAGATATATACCCCTGCTAGGGTGACTTCCTTAAACACACAACTGTTGTTTTCAGAAGCTGGGGCTTATAAAACACACCAATAGTGTTACATACCTATTATAGAAGAAAAACCCATGAATATACAACAGCAAAATACTTAAAACACATAGCTGCATTTCAGTTTAAGAGCAACAGGCTTTCTTTGCTGCAAGTGGACTTAAAATGCTGCTTTCAGTAAAATACTATCTCAGTCCTGCTCCTAAACTTCCCCTGGGGATTACTCTGAACAGGGCAGTTCCTTATATACTCTTACAAACAGGTGGCCCCAGGTGAGCTTTGGATGGAGTGGTATTTCCTGATTTCTTACCTGTAATTCTCTTCAGTACAAAGGAAATCATTAATTTACTTACCTTTAGGGCGTGTGGATAAACAAAAACCTACAGGAATATACAAGAACGGACAAGGCATGATTCAGATCTTCCAAGAGCTGTGGTAGCAAAGAGGTAAGCTTTGTCACTTCTATCACAAAGTGGGATCTCTATTGCTAGTGATTTGAGAACAGCTATTTGGCAAGTAACCTGTTTTCCATGCCAAAGTCTTAACTGTGTTTAGCTTTCAGTGCCTTATCACTACCTACTGGCTTGTGTTGCTGAGTTGCTCTGTCTTTGCTCCAGAGTTACAGCTCTGGAAATCCCCAGGGCAGGGCATGGGCAATTCTCAATGCCTCTGGAATTACCGGTGGGTGCAAACGATGGCAAAATCCCACAGGCCTGCACTCAAATAAAATTCCAATCGATTTCAGTTTGTCTTTTGCCTCAAGAAAGACTGAGCGAAGCCCTGCTGACCTGAAAGTCTTTTCTTCGGAAAGCACATTAACGCGAAACGTAATTGTATTTAAAAGTCACATTCTAGGAAATTCTAGTCAATACTGGGATTATCAGTGGAGCTTCATGACAAATGATGGCACTCTGCCATTGCCCGCTGGAAAAGCTGCAGGACTCAGATAAATGAAGGGATCTGAGGAGAGCGATAGCCGGCTCCGATAGTGCTGGCTGGAGCATGTTGAACAGAGGAAGTACAGAACAGATGAACTTGCAATTACCCTGACATACAGTCCCATCACATGAAGCACTCCGAACGACCTCAGAGCTGGTCTTCTGGTAAAGCACTCCTGAGATACCATCAGCAGAAGTAATGCCACTGGGAGTTCAAGCTATAGGTCTGATATGGGAAAACAGGGCTACCTGATGTATGTTTACGAAGGGCTCCTTTTCTTAGAGCAACTGTTGTTTAACCTAGAAACAAGCGTTTTCCCCTCTGCCTCAACTATGTCTAAGGCAGGGCCGGCCCAAGGAGAATAAAGATTATGATTGATATAAGACTATGGATAAATGGGAGCCGTTAACTGTTTTCCCTTCTGTAATACCAGATGATGTTGGTTAGCAACAACTTATCCTCTGAATCTCAGCCAGGAAAAATGAGGAGGCAGCTCATCTCTGTCGCTGGTTTGATCTCCCACCGCATCCATTGTTGACACAATGGGAAGAAATGGGGAGAGGGAAATGTAAATGTTCTGTGTGTGTCAGAGCCACGCTGTAACCCTGAGGCATCAACTGTGAGACAACAGAGCAAAGAAAAAAAAGTTTCTTACTTCGCTTCCAGCTTCTCGACCTGTGCGAGACAATAAATTGGACAAATTAATCCCCTGTGTAACACACTGAATGACTGCAGTCACAAAAGTGGCTCCTTCTTTTTCCATAACCAGAGCTGACAAGCCCACAGATCCCAGGTAGGCAGTTATGGTATTTGACGCTGTGCGTGTATTATTTACGCATTCTTTGCCTCAGATACACATAGCATCATATCTAAGGGGGAAGAAAATGAGAAAATAAAGGACAATAGAAAAGATGGCCTGACTTGAAGGAAAGGGGGAAGGAGAAAAATAAAGCCATAGATTTGTCTGTATCTTTCTTCTTTTCCTTTGGAAGGTGCTTTTACAGAACGATGGTCAGTGCTGCTTTAAGAAGGGAGAGATCTAATTAATGGAAGGGGCTTTTTTGCTATTGAGCTTAAAAACCAAGCAAACTGTTTTATTCATACATTGCAGACTGATGAAACTGGGGATGGCTGTAAGAAATGCATTAAGGATTAAAGACAACACACTGGAATGTAAGGTCAGACAAACACATTAGCCTATCGCAACGATTTTCCCAACAATTAAACAAGATGAACTTTAAGGATATGCAGTAACAGTAAAATCTTCATATAAAACTGCTCTGTTTAAGTAAGGACCAATGGTAAAATCCCTCCTTGCCTGAGATAGTATTCTGCCCTTTAATGCTTGGGACTGTGTGAAGCCCAGCTCCCCTGCTGAGAACATGTTCTCATCTTGGGCAAATCACCTCTCTGAGCACCGTTTCATATTTTGTTTGGAAGCTTACTGGGGCAAGAACTGTCTCTTAGTACATTATACAATCCTGATTGTTGTTCTGGCTTCTAGAAACTACGGTAATACTGAATAACTGGCCCATGACAAAGGCTCTTGGTGACTCTAAATGGCGTGATGTGCATGTGAAGCAAGATACAACATCTCTTCAAAAAATCTGTCCTGCACAAGATGATATTCTTATCCATTACATCTGGTGAAGAAATTGAATTAGAAATCTGTACTGCCCTTACTTTCAGCCAAAATTCAGGCAGGGTGCTAGACCCCTAGACAATGGGGTTAAAGATGCCCTTCCGAGGAGATAAATAGAAATCATGAGTAACATGCTAAAATTCCACTGCAAGTGTTGTTTCCCCCCCTCAGTGTCCTCTGCAGTATTTTGAATTCTGCAGTGCATCTCTGATGTAATCAGAGCTCCTGCAAGGAGTCCTGGTACTGCTCTGTGATGCAGACAATTCAAAGTTGTGCCTGGATGATAGCAAGCATGGAAGGAAGATGCACAACTCCCCCCTAGACTCTTCCATCAATTCCAGTGCCTGGAACTTGTCTCTGTTGCTTTTTACCATTTGTAAATTCAGTAACTTTTCTGAAAGAATTCCATAAGAATCTGCTTTGCAGTTTAGTGATCCTTCCTCCTTTATTCTTTCCTTAGTTAAAATAAGCAATATTTTCAAGCAGTGTTAAATTCAGGTATCTTCTGACACATGATTTCCATACCTTATCAACACTGTCAGGGTACCCTCCTGAAATACTTTAAACTATACTCGTGCAGCTCTTTATGTAGTAAAAACCGATCTCAAACTTCAACTCTGCTTCCAAAGTGAACTTCCAGCCAAATCAAAGTAAAACTTATAAAGGTCAATGTATAATAGGAAACAAAACTATCCTGAAAAACATATAATCTGTAAAAGTATGCTTATATCCGTATATTGCTCTCCCTGATCTGGACAGATGCTTTTTAGCGTCTTATGACAACCTACAAACCGAATTATAACAAATATGTTATTCAGCATTTGGTTTTATAAACCCGAGCCTTACTCTGATGATAATAATCAGAAGTGAAATAACTTTGCAGATAACTTATATCCCCAGGAGAATGTTCTGAAATACATTAGAACTGATAACTATAGTTATTTTCCTGCTGGGAAATATATTTATGCCAACAAATTTTAATAAGTCACATTCAAAGCAATCTCTTAAACATATTTTTAAAAAGTAAAGGAGTTGTCATTTATTCATGTAGATACATATTTTGCCACTGAAATGAAGAGATACGTAGTCATGGAAGAGTTATTTTACGCGTGTTGTCCCCCCCCCAAGTCTTTCCAATGAAAAAAACAATCTGCCAGAAACACATTGCCTATCAAGAATAGTTAACGATGTGTTATTTGCCAACGAACAGAAGTCAGTAAATAGATCAATATAACAGACATCTCTTAATTCTTTTAAAATTAAAGCTACAAAGGACCTTCAGATTAGGCAAAGAAGCAGAAATTTGAAACACAAGCCTCCATACTGCGCAGAGACGGGACCCGGGGAGAGGGAGAGCCGGGGAAGGGGAAGACGGAGCATCACAAACCGAGCCCGACGGATCAGCCTCGACAGCCGTCAGCCTCCTCCGCGGCGGGACAGGAGAGAGCCAGGGACGAGCCGAGCGGGCCCCTTCACCAGCCGACCGCCTCCCGCTGCCGGCAGCGCGGGCAGCCCGCCGCCGGGGAGAAATGACGGCGCGGGGGGACAGTCCCTCTCTTCCATCCCTGCTGCGGGAGAAAACCTGTTGCTACAACCCGTCCGCACCGACCGACGCGACCCCCCGCCCCGCTCCCCGCCGCGCCCACCCCTCCGGCGGTCGCATTCCCAGGGGAACCCCGCACCGGGCGGCCCCGACCGGGGCTCTGCCTCCCGCCGCGGGGCGATACCCGCAGCCCCCCGCGGCAAGAAGCGGTCCCGACCCGCTCCTGGAAGAAAAAACTTCCCTGGAAACTTGCCTGCAAGTTGCCCGCGGGGCCGGGCAGGGAGCGCGGCCGCCGGGAGCCCCGCGGCGTGGGGTCGGCGGCGGCGGCGGGGCCGAGCACACGGCGCTGCG